ATCCTGCATTTATCACTAGTGAAAACAAAATATGGGGCCATTCTAAATTATCCTTGTTCCTCCTCCTGTCTTTAGTGCTATCTTTTCCTCATGAAGGCTGTGCCTGGAGGAAGGACAGAATGAGAACTGACCCAAAAGTTTACAGATGGAGTACTCCATAGCAACTGCTTTTCTACAAACCACAATATGAGTGGTTTAGATTCACTGAGGACATCACACTAGAGACCATTTTCCTTTCAGTTCAATTCCTTCATTTTTGCAGATAAAAATGTGCTGACCCCTAGTCCACTGGCTTTTTGACATTCACAGGGTTATCTTTATGGAAGTAAAATAAAACAATAGTTTTTATTAGCTTTAAAAGCTGTCTTGTCATCAAAGTTGAAGAGATATTATTCTAAATGATTTTTTTTGAAAACTATACCTTATTTGAAGAGGAAAACTCAAGCATTTTTGCAAAAGCTTTTTGCTGTAGAACAATGAGACGGATTAAAGGTAGCTCACAATATAAGGGAACACGTCTTACCTGTTTTTATTTTTTTTCTCCAAATTCTTCTATATGGGTCCAGACAGATGGACTATGTTTCCTTTCTATTAACTAAGGAGACAGAAGAATTGAGGACTGAAGCAGGTCTTCACTGTCCTGAATGTACTGAAATCCTAACAGCTTTAGCTGAAAAACTATCCAAAGTAGGCAGTGAAAATAAATTTAAAATAGGACAAACCCCAAACTATCTATCCTAGAATCCCAAGAAAGGCAGGGAAAACTGGCTCCTGGAAAGAAGACAGTCAAAGAAATAAGTAGAGTGACCTAGACCCTGTTCCAGTATGTTTGAAGTACTTGGGGATGGAGTAACCCCTTTCTTTTATTCATCTACATATGTCCATGAGCCACGAGAATTGGACTCCCCACGTGAAGCTCCTCAATACAAGACTTCTAACTAACTTTATCACATAAATCCTTTCTCAGGGGTAGGGGAGGGGCCAAATCTAAAGAATCTGAAATGGTAAGCCTATATCTTAATCAAAGTTCTGAGAATAGTTTTAAAGAAGAGTTCCTGGCAGTGAGGAACAGCAGAAGCAGCAAGGGCTCTTGGAACCAGGCAGACCTAGGCTTGAATTCTGGCTGTCACTTCCTGGTGAAGTGACTTGAATAACAAACATCTCTGAGTCTTACTTAGTACCATTTACCTCATAAGGCGATTTGAGGATTAAATGAAAGACCATATGCAAAGCATCTTGCATTAGGCTGAGCATAGAGTAGGTGCCTAGTAGTAATGGTGTTACATTTGCCCTGGGGCAGTGAGCAGAAAGCCTGGGGATACCCATAGGTGGCATGGCCAGGTGCTCCAGAAGCATGGGATTGTCATAGGGAAAAGGAGTTCTCTGCTCTAAAGCTCTTATTCCAGTTAGAAACCAACTCCAAGAGACAATGCACCAAAAGCCAAATAGTCATCATTCAGCTCCTAGTACAAGGGAAAGCAGAGCTCTATTACTTGCAAATCTTGTAAGTGGTTTTGCCACTTATCAACAATGTGAACCTAGGCAAGTTACCCAATGTCTCTGTGTTTCAATTTCCTTGTCCCCAAAGTGGGGATAACAATATCTACATCACAAGAGCTGTTGGAAAAACGAAAATGAGATACAGTGTCAGGGAGCATGTATTGAGTATTTTCCATGTGCCAGGCACTATCCAAGAGTTTTGGTCACACTATCTTGCTTGTACAATACATAAAAGTCCTTAGTATAGTGCCTGGAACACAGTAAGCACCTAATAGAGGTAGGTATTAAAGAAATATTATGGGGCAGAAGAGGAACTGCTATGGTTCCGAGAGAAAGAAGATACGTTAATAACATGCATGGGAAGAATAAGATGCAGTTGGGAGAAGGAAAGTATAGTGGTTGCTGGGTATGACTGTCTCAAACCTTTTGAACTATTACAAATAGAAAATAATAAAACAGCCACCCTGAGTCCTCCCAAAGGACAGACCAAGTTATTATTTTCACCCTTAATGTTTATGCCTTTCTGAATCTGAAGAAGAAGCTGCCAGGATTTTCAGTACATACCAAAAAGTGATGACAATACCCTGAAGTGTATAAACTTGTGTGTGCACACAGCTATCTAAAGGAAACCAATGCTGGATGACTGGGGAAGCATTGGGGTGTCTCTGTGACTGCAGCTCAAATTGCCTTCGTAGTATGGCCACACCTGCCTCATTGGTATTCTCATACCAATGGGGTAAATAATTCAATAGGGACAAAGCTTAGAATCACCTTATTCTCTCTTAGTGCTTATGTTCTTAGCACAACACTGATGTACCACAGACAAGCCAGCATGTCAATGTACTCTACTTGCATAAGATATAGCCCTTCCACATTGTAGAGTCCTTCAGTTTCTAAAATCATGGAACTTGTATTGTTAGAACCAATGAAGTGACTAAAAGAATTTTTAAAAACAATCCATCAGTCTGGACCTGTGTAGGTGAATGAAGAAGAAGCACTTTAAAGTCAGAAAAGAAAAAAGTATACTTAACATTTTGGATTATCAACCACTGCTGGTTTTCCATAATCTATTTCATTCCTGATTTTATCTGAAAGAGATGATTATTACTACCATTCAAAAAGTGGTACCTTATTAAAGCCAAATAAAACAAAAACCCCCAAAGGTGGTACCTTATTAATAAGCTCTTGGCATGTCTTTGAGGTGGATTTCAGATTCAAAATAGACTTTACCACACTGCTAACTTGTTCACTCGGTATTTATCAATAACTTAGAGGGTTCATTCAAGAAGCTTACTGAGTTATAATTACCTGAAACCCAGGGTGAATCAAGGTCTTGTGGGGCCTGAACCTCATCTACTTTGGGAAATCCTGTCTAATAAAAACATGCAACATTATGAGTATAAAAATTGCTAGGACTCCTCTCAAGACCTTGGAAGGAGCCTATGGAAGTGAGGTGCCCTGAAGTTCAAGCTTTGGTCAGTTCAAAATAAATCCACCTCAGCAAGGGCCTATAAATTTTACAGACTTCTTTAATGCCAGAGAAAATATTGTTTCAACTTACAAACACCTTGGTAACATGTCACACAGGTAACATGACTAATTCAAAGGGTGGCATCTTCCCTTGGCAACTTGCCTTTGGAAAGAAATGCAATGAAGTTTATATTTCACTATGGCAGAGATTTCCTAAAGCAGACTAGCTTTGTCTATTAGAAAAATTTGGCCCCAAACAAAAAAGGAGCCTAACCCCCAGTACACACTTACTGTATTGTGATAATCTTTCAGAAGGAACTGTGAATTAGTTTTCGAAGCTCTATTCAAGTCCCATGACATGAGTATTAATATATTATCAATACTGGCTAGCTCTGGTTCTTTAATTACCTTTATCTGTTATTTAAGATGCACACAGAAACTCAACACAAACAAGCTGTTGCCTCATCCATTAAGAGTCTTTTCTATCTCACAACCTGTTCCCCACTTTGTCAACCCCCTACCTTGTTACCCTGCTGCATGGATGCCAGTACGGCTCCCGTGTGTTTTCCCGTCAACATCTTTCTCCTTCCAGTATGAAAGTTTCTTGGGGACAGTCCCTGTCTTATTCTTTGTACCCCCAGTACTTAGTACAGTGTTGACATGTATTGGACATGGCACTCACTGAATGTTTTTCAATGAATTCATTGATTTTTATCAACTGATTCCTCCATAGTCTTTCCTGTGTTGCCCATATAACTATAATGAAAGTCAGATTCTTTCTTTCTTTTCTTTCTTTTCTTTTCTTTCTTCTTTCTTTCTTTCTTTCTTTCTTTTTGGAAATTCAGATTCTTCTAATAGACTCTTGGTGTGAGAGCATGCTTAGAAATAAAGATGGTGAGTTTAAGGCACTATATTGATGCACCAAAACCTCTTGGTGCAGAAACCCAATGAGCCTTTTCTCCGGGGTGTTGGCAAGCAAAAAACTGACCCTCTGTATTCTGTTTCCAAGTTAGGCATCAGCAAATTAATGGGAGGAGAGAGGAGCCTTCAACAGATAGGCATCTGCAGGAACTGTCCCTCTAGCTCCAGACATGCCCTCAACACCTTCATCTATCCTAAAATAAACTGTGTGAAATAATATTTCTGAACTACAAGACAGGTAAGATAATCTTTTCCAAAGTCAGGTTTAGAGGAAGATCTTCACCTTGAGTCTAAAATCCCCCTCAGGCCATTGAACATCCCCCACTATGATTTGTTTATATCACCAGGAAATCACAGAATTTTCCAGCCGAAAGGGAATGACACACTTCTTATTGAAGAAGATTCAGGAAATAGCCACATGGAATTATGCTACAGCAATGTATTTCATGAACATTTTTCACACAACTTAACACAAACAATATCTTTTACCATACCTCAAAGGTTCTTATGGCCCCCAGATGATTTACTCAGAGGTATACATTTTTTGAAAAATAATGTTCTGGGTAACTGGTGAGAGAAGTGCCCTGTGGCAGGTTCTCAGCAGTTCTTTCTGCTTTACCATTTAAAAGAAGCTGATGGCTGAGGAAGCACCCACACTTTTGCTCCCTGGAGAATTCCCCTACACTTACTTCTTTGAAGCTTTATTTTGCACGCATTGAAGCAGTTAGGTACTTTGCACATTAGCAGGAATTTTCAAAGTTAAATTCAAAGGTGGAATTTCAAGGACCATGCCCCTATTGGTGAAGCATCATTGTCATGGATTCCCAGGATAATGTTGATTTGGGTGTTATTTGCTTGGGGCCTTTTATTGCTCATACCAAAGCTGAGGACAGGGAAAGCTGAGAGTGCCATTTATGAGATAGACAAGCCTCTTGGCCTCTTTGTACCTTAGTTTCCTCATTTGAAAAAAAAAAAGAATGGATTTTAAGACATACTTTTCAGAGTTCATACTGGGCTTGTTACATCCACTGAACCAATAAATGTTTGATGTTTTTACATATTGTTTGTCTGCTTATTTTTTACATGTATTCATTTTCTATTTCACTTACAGCTTATGCAAAAACTGCATTCCATGCCAGGCCTGAAATGTTCCAAAGCTCACTTCTGTGAGTAAATTGCAACCAAGATTTCTACAAAAAAAGACACAAGCAAAAGAAGAAGAAAAAAAGATTTTCTTTCAGAACATTTATCCTTTGGCAGTGATTCCAATTTATATAGGATGAAACATAATCTCAATACCCTCTCCATATCCTGAAACTATCTCACTATGGAAGATATGCTTTTTAAAATTTTTTTAAAAATTTAAATTAAAAAAATTTGCATGAAAGATTTATATTTTCATGTTTCTACATGTGTTGCATTAGATACAAATCAGTAAGTGCTCAGTAAATACTTGCGTTAGGTAATCTTTATTTCTCTAGAAAAATATTTCACATCAGCACTATTGACATTTGTGGTTGGATCCTCTTTGTTAGGAGGGGCTGTCCTGTGCATTATAGGGTGTTTAGCAGCATCTCTGGCCTCTGCCCACTAGATGCCAGTAGCACATCTACAGTCTGACAACCAAAAATGTCTCCAGACACTTCCAAATGTCACCTGGGTGCAAAATCACCCTAGTTGAGAACCACTGCTCTAGAATGATTCAGTCTGATCTGTATAATAATTCTTACACTAATCTTTGCTACAGACAAAAAAGATTCGCTACATAATTTTAGTAGCTTTCTACTAATAAAATTACAATCATATTTCAAAATGATTGTAACAAAGAGGTTTACACTTAAGTTTAACAAAAATTCCAAATATAATGAAATTATATTTGTAACTTACATAAACTTCAAAAAAGGTAGTGGTTCAAATGTACGTCTTTCAATAGATTGTATCTTATTGCAGGATAAATCTCTAGGAAAAGTAAAAGGAAAATATTGCCTCAATTAGCTATTAGATACCTAATTAGTAGGCTGATAGTATTGAATAAGTAGCCTTTGCCTAAACTCTGAACTTAAGGATTTGTTATTTGAACCTTCCAGAGCCCCCAGCTCTCCTCATCTCTCTTAAAAGAGTCTCATTTTCATAAATGAAACAAGTAACTACAGCTCTTGATAGATTCTGGAAGTAATCTTTCCTGAGAGCAGAAGAATTGATTAGAGGACATTTGAGGCCTCATCAATTTCTAGATTATGAGCTCAAAGTTTTGACCTCCACATAGAATTTCTTTCTTTATTTTTTAAAAGATTTTATTTGTTTATTCATATAGACACACAGAGAGAATGAAAGGCAGAGACACAGGCAGAGGGAGAAGCAGCTCCATGCAGGGAGCCTGACATGGGACTGGATCCAGGGTCTCCAGGATCACACCCCGGGCTGAAGGTGGCACTAAACTGGTGAGCCACTCGGGCTGCCCCTATAATTTCTTTTTAAAAAATATTTATTTATTAGAGAGTGTGTGTGCGTGCACATGCGCAAGTGGGAGGAGCAGAGGGAGAGGGAGAGAGAATCCCAAGCAGACTCCTCACTGAGTGCAGAGCCCAACAGGGGGCTCCATTTCAGGATCCAGAGATTGTGACCTGAGCCAAAACCAAGAGTCAGATGCTCAGCCAACTGCACCAATCGGGCACCCCTATAATTATAATTTCTAATATTAAAAGGGATATTCTCATTTTGGAACACCTTCTTGGTTTAGTTCTATTTTTCTAGGCCAATTCAATACCAGAAAAAATAAAAGATATCCTTTCATTTAAATTGAAAGGAAGTTACCCCTCTAATCAATACATAAATTTAAACTAACTCAGAATCATACCATCATGTTAATAGAAATTCATTTTTGGTTGTACATTTGCCTTAATATTCCATGAATTTATTAATTGCTTCAGTTGCAAGTGGTGAGACAACAAAAAACACCACATAGTACTGGATCTTTATTTGAAAACACACATTCTTGATAATACTTGACCCTCATACTTCCATTGATCCCAGCTTAGTCCCTCATTTTCCACCTACTCTTCAGACTGGCATTGCCATCTCTAGTCTTTCCCTTTCTAATCCATCCTGCACACAGTCACCAGACTAATTCTCCACAAGTGGTTCTCAAATGCCAGAATCACTTGGGCACTTACTCAAGATGCAAATTCTCAGCCTTACTCTATAGACTAATGGAATCAGTAACTGTGGAGGTGGAGCTTATTTTCTGACAAGCCCTCCAAGTGACTCTGTTGCAGTTTATTTATTTATTTATTTTTCTATTGCAGTTTAAAGCTTGTCCCGGAGCACTGCTGTGATAATCCAGTAGTGTGGCATGTTAATCCACGGCCTTCAAAATCCTAGAAGACTAGCTCTAATCTCCTACTCTACAGGTACTCAAGATATTTTTCCTGTATTTTGCCTTTCTCCCAGTCTCCTTTGTAAGCTTATTCTCCCTACAATGTCTTTCTGATGATACCCAATAGCTCTTCAAGGTCCTGTTGAAACAGCATTGCTCTAATAGCTTCCCTGATCCAATGTGAAGTCTTTTCTCCCTCATCTGTATTCCAAAACCAATTTATACCTCTCATTGCCCATATCCATTTCTTCTTCTTCTTTTGAAAAAAAATTTAAAGTAGGCTTCACGCCCAAACTAGGGCTTGAACTCATGACCCTGAGATCAAGAGCCACATGCTCTACCAACTCAGCCAGCCAGGCATTCCAATTTATTTTTAATATAGTTATTTTTGCATCCTTTTCCCTCTGAGCATAAAATGCTTGAAAGTATGGACTAGTTGTGTTCATCTGCATTGTCTACCATGTTTAAAACTGACACATGTTTCTTTGGTGTTGAGTTTAATAAGTTCTTTATAGATCTTGGAAACTAGCCCTTTATCTGATACGTCATTTGCATCAAAGAAACAAACTATCCAATCATGAAATGGGCAAAAGACATGAACAGAAATCTCACAGAGGGGGATCCCTGGGTGGCGCAGCGGTTTGGTGCCTGCCTTTGGCTCAGGGCGCGATCCTGGAGATCCGGGATCGAATCCCATATCGGGTTCCCGGTGCATGGAGCCTGCTTCTCCCTCTGCCTATGTCTCTGCCTCTCTCTCTCTCTCTCTCTCTCTCTCTCTGACTATCATAAATAAATAAATTAAAAAAAAGAAATCTCACAGAGGAAGACATAGACATGGCCAACACGCACATGAGAAAATGCTCTGCATCACTGGCCATCAGGGAAATACAAATCAAAACCACAATGAGATACCACCTCACACCAGTGAGAATGGGGGAAATTAACAAGGCAGGAAACAACAAATGTTGGAGAGGATGCGGAGAAAAGGGAACCCTCTTACACTGTTGGTGGGAATGTGAACTGGTGCAGCCACTCTGGAAGACTGTGTGGAGGTTCCTCAAAGAGTTAAAAATAGACCTGCCCTATGACCCAGCAATTGCACTGTTGGGGATTTACCCCAGAGATTCAGATGCAATGAAACGCTGGGACACCTGCACCCCGATGTTTATAGCAGCCATGTCCACAATAGCCAAAGTGTGGAAGGAGCCTCGGTGTCCATCGAAAGATGAATGGATCAAGAAGATGTGGTGTATGTATACAATGGAATATTTCTCAGCCATTAGAAACGACAAATACCCACCATTTGCTTCAACGTGGATGGAACTGGAGGGTATTATGCTGAGTGAAGTAAGTCAATCGGAGAAGGACAAATAGTGTATGTTCTCATTCATTTGGGGAATATGAATAATAGTGAAAGGGAATATAAGGGAAGGGAGAAGAAATGTGTGGGAAATATCAGAAAGGGAGACAGAACATAAAGACTCCTGACTCTGGGAAACGAACTAGGGGTGGTGGAAGGGGAGGAGGGCGGGGGTGGGGATGAGTGGGTGACGGGCACTGAGGGGGACACTTGACGGGATGAGCACTGGGTGTTATTCTGCATGTTGGTAAATTGAACACCAATAAAAAATAATTTATTATTAAAAAAATAAAATTGACACATGGACATGAAACAAACTCAAATATTTATAAAATAAATATAAAGAGCTGGCTAGTGAATAGCAGAAACAAAATGACTGTGTAAAAAGAAATGTGGTTTTATGACTTTATGGCTCCCTCTTCTGCACCTCTTCAGCACTTTGTCATCCACTTAGTGCTTTATGCATTGTGGTTTGAGCTTCTATTTTCCTTGTGAGATCATGAGTTCCTACAGGGGTAGGAAGCCTGTCTTAATCATCTGAGTGCCTATGATACTGGGCATAGTGCCTGTCATATTAGCTTTGGATTGACCTTTTTTTTTTAAATGAATGAGAACACTTCAGCTAACATAAAATAATTGGCTTACAAAGTATTTCATGGTAGTAGTAACGAAGTGCCTAATCCTTTGAGCAGTTTATCTCATTTGATTTTCTCCAAACAGTGTCTGTAAAGTTTATAGAGTCCAGATGGCAGAAGCAGCCAAGAAAACCAATACAAGAGTGGCTGTCCCCTAAGACTTGGAAGGTTTGACAACTTAAAGGACTATTCTTAGTGTCATATCATGCTCTTTTTTACCCACTATCCTTAAACCTTCTACATTTGCAAGAAGACTCTATTTGCTCAAGAGCATCATTAATAGGGATTAATGACTTACACAGCTCTGGATGCCACAGACAAAGATAAAAATTGAACCTTTATAGCAAAGAACATGGTATCTCTGTATGTATACCTAGAAATACTAAAGAAGCATTTCCTCCTTGACAATAAGGCTGGGGAGATTTTATTTTATAATTATTGAAATTAGGGGCATTTCTGATATGTTTGCTTAATGTAAACATTTCTAACCATACCACTTAACCATCATTTTATTTTACTTTAAAGATTTTATTTCCTTAAGTAATCTCTATACCCAATGTGGGTTTCAAACCCACAACCTCAAGATCCAAAGTCACTTGCTCTATCAACTGAGCCAGCCAGGTACCCCTTAACCATCATTTTAAACATCTATTTTTAATACTGGTGCTAGAATTCCCACTGAAATCCTTAATCTGCTCTCTTGGTAACTTAATAGGTACTTGATAATACTGCTTACATAATTCACCTGCTTAAATATTTAATATTTAAATGTTTAATTTAGATTAAATTATTAAAAACATTCTGGGTTAATGGCATTGAAAATAATGTAAGTGTTCTATATTATCTTGTCCTGTAGGTGACAATTTGAGGTTAATTTTAATTCCTCTCATTTTACTAAACCAACTTTTTCAAACCTTTTCTGTAAAGGCCAGATAGTAAACATTTTGGGCTTTGCAGGCCATATATGGTCTCTGTCATATATTCTTCTCTTTCTCTTCTTTTCTCTTTTAAAGCCCTTTAAGAATGTAAAAATCATTCTTAACTCATAGGCTGTGTAAAGACAAACCTGAGCATGATTTGATCCATGAGCCATAAACTAAGTATAAATGTAAGCACACGGTATATGAACACTTACAAAACAGGTTAATATGTGCATCCATAATTGCTCAGACCTAATTACTCCTTTTGCTCTATAACTGAAGGGTCTTTTTCTATCTTTATCTTGTCTATAGAATTAAAAAACTGAAAATGCATATGAGATATTTAATGCTAGAGATGGAATTTTATTGTTAGAAGAAATTGTAGTGATTATCTAATTTGAACCCCATATTTATTTTACAGATAATATAACTAAAAACACATAATAAGTGATTAATTAACTTACAAATACTGTAGGGATAGCAGGCCTTCAAATGAGTCCTTATGTAATTCACTCAAGTAATTTTCACTGAGAATTCTGAAAAATGAAAAGGTTATTTCTGCATCAAAATGCAAAACAACTACAACTATTTACTACACAGGACTAACTCCCATCTGGGAGGGAAACCTGTGTAATGGTGCCACCTAAATATACTAATTCTTCTTTAATTTAGGAGTACTGAGCTCTGTGCTGTTTCCACTCAAATCCTTTTTTGTTCTTCTCTCTCTCTCTCTCTCTCTCTCTCTCTCTCACACACACACACACACACACACACACACACACACACACATGCATCCATCCACTATTTGAACCAAAATGCATATTTAATGCCTACTCTCTGGATCACAAAGTCTCTGCTAGAACCCTGGTTTAGATGACAATAATACTGGCAGAACTGACATTTCCTCCTCTCTTTTTCTAAATTCTATGTTGGAAGCCCCATACAGCACTATAGGTAAAGTCATTTGATTTTTTTTTCCCCAACCAAAAAAAAAAAAGTTTTTGAGAACTAAAAAAATGCACATCAAGTGTACATAACATATTCAGTTTAATAATTATAAAGCAAATACCCATGAAATACCACTTGTATCAAGAAAAACCCCTGCCAGCATCCCAGAAGGCTTCAGTGTGCCCCTTCCAATCACAACCCTCTCTGATTCCCCAGAAGTAACCATTATCCTGACTTTAATAATTTCTTTGCCTTTTTTAATTTTTAAAAAAGATTAATTGATGGGAGAGGGGCAGAGGGAGAGAAAGAATCTCCAGCAGACTCCTGGCTGAGTGTGGAGCCCTATCCCATGACCCTGAGATCATGACCTGAGCCCAGTCAAGAGTTGGACACTTAACTGACTGAACCACCCAGGGACCTCTAATTTCCTTGCTTTTTTATTTTTTTCCTTGCTTTTTTAAATGTAGTTTTGCCTATCATATGTCAGCCATAAACAACATAATTTAGTTTTGTCGCTTCTTGAACTTTATATAAATGGAATCACAGGTATTATTTTCTATGTTGCTTCTTTCACTCAATATTTCTTATAAATTCATTATATTGTTGCATGTAGCTGAGGTTGGTTCATTTCAATACCTAGTATTGCATGTCTAGCTGCATGTGGCTACTGAATACTTGGGAGTGGCTAGTGTGACTGAGGAGCTGAATTTTTAATTTAATTAATTTTATTTACTTTAAAATACAAATGAAAAAACTGATACTCAACAGTTATTAGAAAATGTTTAAATATGTTTGCAACAATGTAGGTATGTGATATTACTTTTTTAACTGTAATTTTTATGAAATCTAAATACAGATCAAGTATTCTTGATAAAAGACTAGCAATCAAATTGTGATTTCAGAGTTACTATGGAAAAAAGAACATAAACTCTCAATAATTTTTATACTGATTACATGTAGAAATGATATCGACACAGGCACAGGCATTTTGAAGACAGTATACAACATAGACTATCTTACTAATAATGGGTATAATAATTATATGTCAAAATAATATTTTGGCTATAAGAGCTAAACAAAATATATTAACATTTATGTCATCTCTCTCTTTTTACTTTTAATTTTTAAGCGGCTATCAGAAAATTTGAGATTACTTATGTGGCTTTATGGTTCAAACAAATAGTGTTCCATTTTATGACTATACCACACTTTATTCATTCTACTGTTGGCAGATATCATCCAATAGATATATATAGAAAAACAGGTTAAAATCCTGCCCCAGGAGAGCAGTGATCCATAGTTAGGAACCTCTGCTTACAAGGTATAACCCTCAAGCTGAACCAGACATCTGCAGGACTTACCGCATTCATGTTCTAGTGTATAAATTCCCAAACACATGCTTTTTAAAAATTAATTTTTTAATTTCAATGCACTTTTAAAAAATATGTAATATATATTCACATGGCCCAAAATTCCAAAGGTATATAGTACACAACGCCAAGTTTTTCTCCTACCCTTGTCCTCAGCCCACCCATCCCCCTCCATTCCCTAAAGAAAACTAACGTTATTTATTTCTTGTGACAATTATTTTCAGTTTTCTTATAAGTTTGGGAAATAAAATCTCCCAGTCAGACACTATCATGGAGAAATATAAACTACACATAGTATTTAAGAAATTCACAAAATAAAAAACAAATGCCTAGTTCTAGCATTTCTCCCTTACCAATAAGATATCAGACTGAGGGGTGAAATCTACTTTAGAGGGATCATAATCCCTATTTTTAGATTGCTATGATTACTATGTCTTTTATTGTTAATTCAGGAGTCATTTATGACTTCTCTGCTCAAGTTTCACTAATGATATGACACAAAACTCTCATAAAACACCAGTTAATTGCTTTGATTGTAATATTTTTTTTCTAAAAACACTTGTGTCTACATTGACTTTTTCTACAGATCATTTTTTAAAAAGATAACAGAAAATTGGCAAAGGACAGAAAATTCACTCAAGAAATACAAATGTTCAGTAAACATAGGTATTTAAATTTACAAGTAATCAGAAAACCTCAAATTCACATGGGACCCCTTTTATTCACCCATCAGATCAGTCAAGAAATGGAGAATATCCAGTAGTGGGTGGTATGAGGATGTGAATGCTGTCATGATCTATGGGTTGGAGTTTAAGTTGGCACAACTTTTTTGAGGGCAATTAAAATTTTACATCTACATAGTCTTTATTCAAACAATTCCATTTCTAGATATCTATTCTACAGAAATACCTGCGCACATACACAAAGATGCATGGTTGAGGCAGTTCACTACAGGAGCGCATGTGACAAGAATATGGGACACAGTCTAAACATTCATCAATAGGAGAATTACTATATACATTCATACTTTGGAATATATTACACAGGCATATACATGAATGGGGTAACCCCCTATCTATGTACTAAAAGAAAAGAAATCTAAGACATAAGATAAAAGAATCAAAAGCTTAATTTATAAGCATAAGCATAAGCAAAAGAATCAAGTTGTAGGAAGTTATCATTTATGTAAAAACAAAAACAAGGTAAGAAAATCCCACAACAAACCTATTTTGTTGTCTATAAATATGTATGTAGACAAATGCATGGAAAAAGATCTGCAAGGATATATACTAAATCCAGAGGAGTAGTGGCTATCTCAGTGGTAGGGGATCAGAACACAAAGAAGATGTTCACTTTATCTATTCTTTCATTTTTATATATTGAGGATATAATCATGTATTCCTATATAATGGAAAATAAGTTTATATTGACGCTAAATTTTAAAGAGAGCATGTCAAATTCAATTTTCAAGATAAACATAGAATTGCCATCAATAGAGGTTGATTTGGGATATGGAGGGGGAAATACCTTTCCTCCAAGATACTGACTTCAAAATTCTTGACTAAGAAGGATCTTAGGATGCAGTTTTTTGTATTCGTATTTGGAGAAAATATACTCACAATTTCTCAGTCCAACGGTATGCCTTCCATGTATTTTCCTCAATGTAAGAAATAGAGTTTCCTTGGAAATTTCTGTGAAGAGAAACACAGTTCAGATCCTTGACTAGTTAGGAAAAGAATGAACAGAATAAGTAAAAGAATCATTGGCAACCTTGGGGGAATATGCAAATGCAGAAAATACCAGCTTCTTAATATCCATAGCTATCAGCATCCCAGTTTGCACAATTAATAAGGAAATGTGGGGCCATTGGTGTCAACAAGCCATCTCCTTAGAACCGGAACTTTCTATTTGTCTAATTTCTTGGATAGATAATGCCAGTTAATTACTTTATGAATATGGGTATTTTTCTCCAAATCACCTCTATGTGTCTAAAATGGTTCTTTCTGTAAATCAATGAGAAAATAATTCAACAGAAAAATGGCAAAAAAAGTATCAAACAAAGGTAAAAAAAAAAAAAAAACAAAGGTAAAGAAATCCTATGCCAGGAAACAAAGGTAAAGAAATCCTATGCCAGGAACACCAAAGCTTTGGCCCAGTGACTTCTTTTGAAATCTCTCCAGCTGTTAGGAGAAGTTAGAAATGAGAGGAACTAATATGGAGAGATTTCTTAGACATGTTACATAGGGAAAAGCAACAAATCACTGAGCAAGCAATAAAAAGTATTACCTAATGATTAGGGGAAAAATTGCAAAGGAAAGTGATGGGAAGGACAGACACCAAAATGTTAACAGGAGTTATCTTATGGGTGGTAGGGGGTTTGGGTGGGATTTTCACATTTTATCCTATATGCTTGTGACATTAAAAAAATGAGAATGTATCCATGAATTGCAAGTATTTCAAAGAAGCTATGAAATGCCTGAGTTCAGTTTTAATCACTAATTCCGTATATGACTGAATCTTACCTTTAACTTATCTTCTTCCCTCAGCAACAACTTACCTATTCATTTTTTAAGGTGTTATTTATTCATGAGAGACAGAGAGAGACAGGGACAGAGAGAGAGAGAGAGAGAGAGAGAGAGAGAGAGCGGCAGAGACACAGGCAGATGGAGAAGCAGGCTCCATGGAGGGAGCTGATGTGGGACTCAATCCCGGGTCTCCAGGATCACGCCTTGGGCTGAACGCGGCGTTAAATCGCTGAGCTACTGGGGCTGCCCTCCTAAGCTAATTCTTTTTTTTTTCTAAGCTAATTCTTAATTCCTGATCATTCTTGCAGCTGTGCCTTTGCTTAGACTATACTCCCTATTCTTGCTGTATTTAACAAATCATAGCCACTCTAAATCTCAACCGAAGTTTTAGCTTATCCATGCAGCTTTCTCTGACCCCTACACTCCATTGATTACAGATTCTGGTGACTTACAGCACCTATAGTCTGTACTTAATTATAGGTCACCTGTCTTTCTATGCCTATTTCCTTTCTTCCCACCTCTTATTTCATATTCTAAAGACAATGCCATACTTGCATGGCTGCCACAGTACTGAGTCCTGGGCTGGGCACAAAATAGGTGCTGTATATAGAAAACCAAGGGACAAAGATGAGTTCTAAACATAGCTGAGGAATCAAATAATAGCTAACACTCACATATATGCGAGGCACTGAAAACGTGTTTTATATGTATTAACTCACCAAATCTCACAATAATCCCACAAGGCAGTAACTATTATCCCATTTTATAGATAAGGAAATTGAATCAAAAGCTAATAAGTGACAGAACTCAATTCAAACCCAGGCAGTCTAATTCCAGAATCTCTGCTCTTAACCACTTTTTTGTATATCACCAAGGAGATGGAAAGAGGGACATGTTGCTATAAAGATGGGAGAGTAGAGGTTAAGGGATGAAATCATGGGGCTAAAAAAACTGGATAAAGAATAAGGACAATTACAAGGAAACGGGTGCAGACGTGGGAACCACAGCAAACAGGAAAATGAAGATAAGGACAGTTGGCAAAGAAAAGGTAAAAAGAGAGAGTCAGTCAACATGGTTGGGGAGATGACGAAGGCCCAGGAAGACCTCAAAGAAAGGCTGCTGTGTCAAGCAGGAGGCAGGGAACAAATGAGAAAAGGCAATTCTTACAAGATGGTAAAGGTGTTGTTGTCCATGTTGGGCTCTGGCACAGGCACTCTGCGGAGCCTCTGCTTTGGGCTGAAACCACTACACGACAGCATCTCATCTTTGCAGGTACAGAGCTCACATATGTTGACGTTTGTGGTAACATTCTGTTCTGGCTGCTCAGTTAAAGTTGTATATGCCTTTTCTGGGAAGTATTTTGGAAAATGCACCACTGAGTGCTGAGTCGTTGGGGGGAGAACCGACTCAGATGACTCTAGTTGGTGACTTACAGTAATTTCCAAGTCCATAGGAGGAACAGGAACAGTGACTTCAGTCAGGTTTGGCTGTTGACTCTGAACACGCTCTGAATGTGCAAGTGTCACCTCAAGGTCCGCTGGATAAGGAGCTGTAGTCTTCTTCGTGGTTGCAGAATGTTTAGCCTCTGTAATAGGTTCTGGAATAATGGTAAGCCCCAAGCCCACATGATGAAATGTGATGCTGGGTGATTCTGGATGCTGGCCTTCACCCTTACTTGGAGTTGGAATCATCACTTCCTGATGAAATGGATATTGAACTACAACCTCCTTAGGTGGCTCTGGAGGCTGAGTTGGGGTCTCTTGCATGGCTGGAGAAGGTTCAACTTCCATATTGGATCCTGCAGTTACAGTAATTTCCAGGTCCATAGGTGGAACAGTGACTTCAGTCAGGTTTGGATGTTGACTCTGATTCTGCTCTAGATCCGCAAGCGTCATCTCAAGGTCCTTTGGAGGGGGAGTTGTAGTCTGGGTGGTTGTAAAACGTTCAACCTGGGTAGTAGGTTCTGGAGTTATGGTACGTCCCATGTCCACAGGATGAACTGTGACACTGGGTGAAGTTGGATACGGAGCCTGAGCCTGACCTAGGGTTGGAACTGCCCCCTTCTGATGGAATGGATATTGAACTACAACCTCCTTAGGTGGCTCTGGAGGTTGAGTTGGGGTCTCTTGCATGGTTGGAGAAGGTTTGATCTCTGTAGTAGGTTCTGGAGTTATGGTAAGCCCCAAGTCCAAAGGTTTAACTGTGACTTTATTTAAGGTTGAATGCTGAACCTGAACCTGCTCTGATGGTGGAAATGTCACCTCAAGGTTCTTTGGAGGAGCTGTAGTCTGATGCACAGTTGTAGACTGTTCAACCTCTGTAGTGGGTTTCAGAGTTATGGTAAGCTCCAGGGCCAAAGGTTGTGTTGTCACATTTGGTGACCACAGGTGCTGAGCTTGATCCTGAGCTGACGTTGGAACTGCTGCCTCTTGATATATGGAAGGTTGAGCTACAAGTTCCTTAGGCAGCTCTAGATGCATGGCTGGAGAAGGTTCAATCTCTGTAGTGGATTCTGGAGTTATGGTAAGTTCCAGGTCCAAAGCTTGACCTGTGACCTTAGTCAAGTTTGGACGGTGAGACAGAACCTGCTCGAGATGTGCAAATGTCACCTCCAGGTCTTTTGGAGGAGCTGTAGTCTTTTTCAGGGCTGTAGAATGTTCAACTTCTGTAGTGGCTTCTGGACTTACAGTAAGCTCCAGGTCCAAAGGTTGAACTGTTACATTGGGTGATGATGGATACTGAGTTTGATTCCGACCTGGTGTTGGAATGGTCTCCTCCTGATATACTGGAGATTGAGCTACAGTAACCTCCTTAGGTGGCTCTGGAAGCTGCATTGGAGTCTCCTGCATAGGTTGAGGAAGTTCAATCTCCTTAGTAAATTCTGGAGTTATGGTACGCCCCAGGTCCAAAGGCTGAACTGTGACTTCAGTCAAGATTGGATGCTGAGCTTGAACCTGCTCTTGATGTGCAAATGTCACTTCCAGGTCCTTTGGAGGAGCAGTAGTTTTTTTCACGGTTTTAGAATGTTCAACTTTCGTGGTGGGTTCTGGAGTTATGGTAAGCTCCAAGTCCAAAGGCTGAACCGTTACATTGGGTAACAATAGATGCCGAGCTTGATCCTGACCTGGAGTTGGAACTGTCATCTCCCGATACATGGGAGGCTGAACTACAAACTCCTCAGGTGGCTCTAAAGGAGGACCTGGAGTCTCTTGCATGGTTGAAGTTTCAACCTCCTTAGGAGGGTCTTTTGTCTGAACTATGAGTTCTTGTTGGCCTGGAGGAAATTCATCTTCAGGGGTCTCTGGAGACTGGAAATGAAGCTTGGACTGGGCTGGAGAAAATTCAACCTGCTCAGGGGGAACTGGAGCTTGAGCAGGGGTCTCCTGCTGCCCTGGAGATTGTTCAAACTTAGTGGGCGCCGGAGTTATGAAAACCTCCAGATCTACAGGTTTTACTGTGATATTGGGCAACATTGGATGTTGAGCTTCACCAGGACCTAGAGATGAGAATGTCACCTCATGATGTACTGGAGGCTGAGCTACAATATCTGTAGAGGACTCTGGAGGCTGAGCCTGGTGCTCAGGCTGGACTGGAGAAGGTTTTACACCTACAACAGGCATCTGAGGCAGAGATGAGTTCCACTGCTGGCTTGGAGAAAGTTCAGTTTCCTCAGGAAGATCTCCAGTCTGTGTTGGGACTCCCTGCTGGACTGGAGAAGGTTCAACATTTTCAGCAGGGGCTGGATGTTGTTCTGGAAACTCCTGCTGGATTGCAGAAGGTTCCAACTGTTCCGGGGACATGGCAGACTGAGCTGAGGCCTCTTGTTGGGGTAGAGCAGTTTCAACTTCATTAGTGGACTCTGGAGTTATGATAAGTGCCAGATCCAGAGGTTTAACAGTGACGCTGGGGAAGAGTAAAAGCTCAGCTTGACTCTGACCTAGAGGAGAAACTGTTACTACATGATGCTCTGGAGAGTGAGCTGGGACCTCCTGCTGGGTTGGAGAAGGTTCAACCTCACCAGAAGGTTCTGGATGCTGAGCTGTGGCTTCTTGCTGAGTGGCAGAAGGGTTAACTTCCTCATAGGTCTGTAGATGCTGATGTGGGGCTTCCTGGTGGGTTGCAGAAGGTTTAACCTCCCCTAGGGGATTTGGATGTTGAACTGTGGCCTCTGACTGGGCCGGAACAGGTTCGATGTCCTCAAGGGACTCTGGATACTTAGCTGGGGTCTCTGTTTGGGTTGGAGAAGGCTCACCCACCTCTGGGGTCTGAGGGTGCTGAGTTGGGGACTCCTCCTGGGTTAGAGGAGGTTTGATCCCCTCGGAGGCCTGTGGGTGATTAGCTGGGGCTTCTTGTTGGATTGGAGAAGGTGCAACCTCCTCAGAGGTCTGTGGATGCTGACCCTGGCTTTCCTCCTGGGTTAAAGATTCACTCTTTGCATGAATCTGTGGGAATTGAGTGGGAGCCTCTTCCTGAGTTGGAGATGGTTCTCCCTCCTCGGAGGCCTGTGGATACTGGGTTGGGACCTCCTGCTGGGTTGAAGAAGGTTTAGCTTTCTCAGGAGTCTGTGCATGATGACCCTGGCTCTCCTCCTGTATGGAGGAAGGTTCACCCTCCTCAGGGATTTGTGGAAGCTCAGCAGGGGCCTCCTGCTGGGGTGGAGAAGGTTCCTTCTCTTCCTGAGTCCCTGGAAGTTGAGCCAGGGCCTCCTCCTGGGTTGAAGGTGATTCACCCTCCTCAGGGGCCTGTGAATCCTGAGCCAGGGTGTCCTGCTGGGTTGTGGAAGGTTTAACCTCTCCAGGGGTCTGAACAGGGGTCTCCTGCTGTGTTGGAGGTTTCTCCTGTGTGGGAGACTCTGGGGACTCAGTTGGAATCTCCTGTTGAAATGGCAAAAGTTCAATCTCCTCAGGGGACTGTGGAGGCAGAGTTGGGGCTTCATGCTGGGTTGCCAAAGGTTCCACATTAAGGGGCACAGAGGGCTGAGCGACAGACTCATGCTGAACTGGCAAAGGTCCCACCTCTGTAGTGGGTTCTGGTGTTACAGTAACCTGCACGTCTGCAGGTTTAACAGTGATATTGGGCAGGTTTAAATGTTGAACCTGATGGTGACCTGGAGGTGCAACTCTCACCTCATGATGCTCTAGATGTTGAGCTGGGTGTTCCTGCTGGGTTGGAATAGGTTCCACCTCCCCCAGAGACAGCTCTGGTGGCTGAGATCCTTGTTCTTGCAGGGTTGCAGAAGATTCTATCTCCCCTGGAGATTGACCTGGGTTCTCTTGCTGGGTTGAAGATTCTGCCTCATTAGGGAGCTGTGCAGGTTCAGCTGGGGCCTCCTGTGTGACTAGAGTAGGCCCAGCCTCCTCAGGGAGCTCTACAGCCTGTTCTGGGGCCTCCTGTGTGACTAGAGTAGGCCCAGCCCCCTCGGGGAGCTCTACAGGCTGAGCTGGGAACTCCTGTGGGACTGGAGAAGGCTCAGCCTTATCGGGGTGCTGTGGAGGCTGAGTTACAGTTACAGTAAGTGCCAAATCTACAGGTTTAACAGTGACATTGTGTAATTTTGGCCGCTGAGCTTCATTCTGACTCAGAGACGGCACATTTACCTCCTGAGGTGGTACCTCCTCCTCTGGTGGCTGAGCTGGGGTCTCCTGAGGGGTCGAAGGTTCTACTTCCTCAGATGCCTCTGTAGGTTGAGCTGAGGCTTCCTGTTGGACTTCAGGGGTACTTGAAGGTTCAGCTGGGGCCTCTTGTGGGCCTACAGAATTTCCAGCTTCCTTAAGGATCTCTGGAGGCTGAGATTGAGCATCCTGAAGAAGTGGAGGTGTTTCTGTCTCTTCAGGGGACTCTGGATGCTTGGCCTGGGCCTCCACCCCAAGCAGAAAAGGTGCAGGTTCTTCTAAAGTTGACTGGAGAGGTCCTGCAGGGGTCTCCTGCAGGAGTGAAGAAATTTCAAGCTCCTCAGGGAGCTTTGGGGGTTGATCTGGTCCCCCTGGGAAATCCATTGGTCGGTTTTCCTCAGGATATATGATATCCATACCAGAATCTGAATAATCGTCCTGCAGTTGTTCTAGGAGCTCTTTATTTGCAAATTGGTTTGGAGTTCTAAGAAGAACTTTGGCAAGCCTTCGATGCTGAACTAGATCTTTGTCCAGGTTTGGGGATGAAACAAGAAACTTTCTTTGGTTTAAACTCTGACTGTCCAGAGGTGGAATAAGTATTTCCAATGACTGGTGATCTTCTGGCTCATCTCCAGTTTTCATCTTATTTTTGAGTGGAGGAGGCAGAACTATGGCCTGATTCTCATCACCTAACCTTGGAACCACTTGTAAGAGCCTTTTGTGCAGGGTTGGCTTGTTATTCAGATACTGATCTGTCTCTGGGGGCAGCTCACCAATTGAATCCGTGTCCAGGAATGGAACCAAAGTCTCAGTCAACTGCTTAGGCGGGGCCGATATCTGGGCTGGAGCAGAGGACCTCAAGTTATTAAAGCCCCCCGGCCCTGCGGGGGGGGTAAGTGCCTGGAGCGATTCATGCAGGAGGTCAGAGGAGTGGGAAGACCTGGGTTCCGGGGATCTCCGAAGGCCGGAGGTCCGACGGGCCCACTCCGGAAGGGGAGCTGCCTGGCCCAACAACCACAATGGTTGCCAGGTAAAGAGAAGTATTAAAATGAAGAAGCAAAGCCGGGGCATGATACTCGGAGACTCTGGGGAGCAGAGACCCAAGCCAGTGGGGCGCTTGGTCTCACCAGAGAAACCGAAATGTTCAGGGAGCCCGGTGACGCCCCCATTGTTAGCAACTGCGCGCCCCTGCCCCGCCTACGTCCCACCCTTTATTTACGCCACCTTTATTAGCTTGGCACAGCTGGGGTGCGGCTGGGGCCTGAAGCCCCTCGTTCAAGCCTTTTCCCCAGAATCCCCAGGCCAAGCCTCCCTTCCCCTGCAAAGGCCACCACTACCTCCCGCCGAGCTACAGGGAAGGATTTGGGCTGCTGGAGTCTGCATGGACCCAGACTCCAGCCGCTCTGAGGTGTAAGGGTCGGGGTGTGGAGCAGTTTCCCAAGGAAGCAGAAGACCTGGCGTCCCGGGGGATTCAAAATGCTAGTCCAATTCTGGCGGACCGAACTTGTCCTCTTCAAAGCTTAAATCCGAGACACATTCCTCCACCCCCCCCCCCCCCCCCGGCTATACTGCTTCTAAGAAAAGAGGCTGACGTGAAGAATAAGCACGGGGACAGTGGGGAGGGGAGCACACTTTACAGTTACTCTGAAATGCTGCCATTTCCTCTAAGTTCTCAATACGCATGTCTGATTTTTAATTCACTACTGTGTTAGGAGGAGGCTACCTACCACTGAATCAGTGATGGCTCCAAATTCCTGTGGGAGGGGCTTGGGGGCATGGGGGTAGGGGAGAGGTGAGCAATTCATTCTGGGAATGAGAGTCTGAAACCAAGGGACTAGCCCTCCGTTTACATTAGTATGGAAAACTTCCCCGTCCCACCTACACTCAACACACCTGTCAATCTAGAACAAGTAACCACCATTTCTCAGAGGTCTACCCCGTGTGCACGCATGGAGAAGGCACTTAAAATGTTGAGGTCAGCATGTTAAACTTTCTGGAAATACTGTAACTACCACCCCGTTTACTTCCTTCACTGTCCTTTCTATAATCTCTTTCTGTTTAGTACGTGTTTATGGTCTGGCACAAGCTCTGGAGAACGTAGGTTTTTGTTTTGTTTTGTTTTTAAGGATTTATTTATTCAGAGAGACAGGCAGAGACACAGGCTGAGGGAGAAGCAGGCTCCATGCAGGGAGCCCTACACAGGACTCCATCCAGGGTCTCCAGGATCACACCCTGGGCTGCAGGCTGCACTAACCCGCTGCTCCACCAGGGCTGTTGGGAGAGAACGGATTTTATCCTATTCCCAGTGTCTAGCACATAGTAATGGTTTTAAATGGAACTAATTCCAAAACTGGTCTTATTTAGGAATGGATCTGTTGTTAGAGTCAGGTTTCTGAAATCTATAGCATCAATACTGAATCTCTTTCTCTCACATTTCACAGGAAGCTAGATATCTTAAAGTGTAAACTTGGATAAGTCTGAAATTTCCTTGACTGGCTTGATTTAAATTGAATTAGAAGAATTTTTGCACAAACAAAACGTCAAATACTTTTTCAGAAAGTAACCATCTTTTCTTTCTCTACTCTCTTCCCTTCAAAACAAATGTTGCAACTTCGGAGTTAGTTAAATAATCAGAATTCTAGCCCCAAATTAAGTTCTTAATGACTTGAAACACATTCTTTGCTCCTTTTATTTATTTTTTTTAACATTCAATATATAGAACATTGGCATTTTATTTTAGAAATTACTTTGTCAACTTAATCCCTAATTTAGGGTTAGGGTTACAGAAAAGTTCTTCAACAAATATTTCATACAAGATGTCTATGTGATACTGATATCTGGGTAATATACCTTATTTGAAAGACAATTTTAAAAAATATATATTTTATTTATTCATGAGAGCCACACAGAGCCCTGAGAGGAGCCTGATGTGGGACTCCATCTCAGGACCCTGGGATCAGGCCCCAAACCCAAGGCAGATGCTCAACCACTGAGTCACTCAGGTGTCCCAATGCACATAAAGGTTTTCAAATGCTGTAGCATTATCTCACTTAAGACCATAGTTACTCTGTTCCCAAGTCCCTGAGATTCTGTTTGAGGGGAGCTCTAAAAGGCTGTGTCCTCTTCTATGTCCAAACTCTAGGAGCACTCTGATGCAATTGGCTATCCAAATTTCAAATAAGGGGTCAGAGCCAAGGGCCAAGGCTTCAAGAAAAGCCCCAGAAATTCCCTGCACTCAAAAGGAGTTTCAGAGTTTCACATTTCCCAAAAGATGACAGAGCTAACTATAGTCTTCCAAATCCTGTCAGTTGCTTTAAATTATGGTTATAGTGGCTGTGGAACCCTTGAGCTTTAATAACCTGGTGCTTGAATTAAATCATGTAGCTCCTCTTGGGTTCTGGCATCTGTAATCTCTTCACAGGGTCTGTATTCCACAGCTATTTTATCACTTTCTGTAATAAAGTTAAAGAGGATCAATTCAGAGTTTTTCTTGTTCTAAAATGTGCTGTACTGGGTGTTATGCTATATAAAAAAATAAAAATAAAATTTGCTGTATAGAACCCATCATTAGACATTCTTTTGAAATTTAAAAGCAGAAAATAAAAGCATTTTCCTAGAAGTTTTCTCATCTCACACTTCTGTTTTTATCATAACTATTTTTTAAAGACTTTATTTGAGAGAGAGAGAGAGAGAGAGCACATAAGCAGGGGGGAGGGGCAGAGGGAGAGATAAAAGCAGACTCCCCACTGAACAAGGGAGTCTGATTTTGGGGCTTGATTCCAGGACCCTGGGATCATGACCTGAACCAAAGGCAGACACTTAACTCACTGAGCCACCAAGGCACTCCTCCATCTCAGTTTTTAAAAAGATATGTGTGTGTGTGTGTGTGTGTGTGAGAGAGAGAGAGAGAGAGAAAGAGAGAGAGAGAATGTATGTGAGGGCACTGGTAGGGGGAGGGGCAGAAGGAGAGGGAGAGAATCCCAAGCAGATTCCCTGCTAAGTGTGGAACCCCCAATTCAGGGCTTGACCTAGGACCCTGAGATCATGACCTAAGCCAAAATCAGAGGTCCAATGTTGGACCCATCTAGCCACCCACAAGTCCCTCCATCCCATTTACTGATAAACCAATCACACTTTAAAAATCATTATGCTGCACCGTATGCTTGAATATCTGATAGCTCTATTCTCTCTCATTACCCTTCCTTTTTTTTATACTAAAGATTCCTGTATATCCTTAGATTTTTTCCAGAATACATTTAAAAGCAGTTTGTCCAGATCTCCTCCCCAAAGCATATCTTCCCCCCCACCAAAACATGTCTCTATTTACCTATAATCTATCTACCTACAAAGATACAGATAGATATGCAGATACAGACATAAATGTACGTATCTTCAAGAGATTTCTACATGTTACCTAATTCAACACCAATCTTGAGGCTGGATTAAGTATCTTTCTAAATCCGTGACCCTGTCTCTCCTAATAACTATTTTTAAGGGTATAGTTCAGTGGCATTAAGTACATTCACATTGTTGTGCAACCATTTCCAGAACATTTTTCTTTTCATGTGCCCAAACTGAGATTCTGTATCCATTCGACAATAACTCCCCATCCCACCCACAGCCCAGCCCCTGGCAACCACCATTCTTCTATTCTGGAAGCCTTTTGAGATGATCACTTCCCTGCTGCTTTCAATCCAGCTGGAGTCCAGTTTTCCTCTCCTTGCAGATACAATATACAATACTTTGGAGAGGGGGCGGGCATGCATCTGAACACTTTATTGGCAGAAACGGGCCTATGTACCTTATAGGCAATAAAATTTCCCTTAAGGCAAACTAGAGCTACAAGACTTTTTAGCCTAAGGAGTTTTGAATGTGTATATGGATACCACAGCATATTAGGGCGAGGGTTGGCATATTAGGGCAAGGCCAACAACCCAGACGTTTAGTTTGGTTCTTAAAGGTTGTCAGAGTTGACAGCTAATGGAGATTCCAACTGATGACCACAGAAGTCAATCTACACTGGAAGAGCTGCCCAAGCTGGAAACCTGTGACCAATCCAGGGTCAGGGTCAACTCTTACAAGCAAACAAAGCTTCTAATACTTAGCTAAGATTTCTTAGGTTTTTTTTTAGATTTTATTTATTCACTCATGAGGGATTGAGAGAGAGAGAGAGAGAGAGAGAGAGAGAGAGAGAGAGGCAGCGACACAGGTAGAGGGAGAAGCAGGCGCCATTCAGGGAGCCCGACCTGGGACTGAATCTCAGGTCTCCAGGATCAGGCTCTGGGCAGAAGGTGGCGCCAAACCGCTGAGCCACCAGGGCTGCCCGGATTTCTTAGTCTTTAACACTCAAGGCTCTGAAGCAGGGGAGCAACTATTTGGGGACTCTCTACTAATTATAAAATTGGCAAAAAAAACAAAAAAAAACAAAAAAAGGGGGCTCCTGGGTAGCTTAGTCTGTTGAGTCTCTGATTCTTGATTTTGGCTCAGGTCATGATCTCAGGGTTGTGAGACTAAGCCCCACATTGGAGTCCATGCTGGACTTGGAGCCTGCTAAAGATTAGCTCTCTCTTCCTCTCCCTCTACTCCTCCCCTGCCTCCCTAAGAAAATAAATAAATAAATAAAATAATATTTAAAAAAATAAAATTTCCTTTGAGCACAGCCTGTAACATTCACAGCACTGTAGAACTCAATAGGGAATACAATCAACACTATTCAATAGGATGACCACTTTCAAGATTCACAAAAACATGGTTGATCATTACATCAGAATCATATTTACTCAATATGTCAGTGCCAGAAACAAAAACTGAAACCAAACTGATTCAAGAAACATAATCTAATAAATTCTCCAAGAGGAAAACAATAATGATAAGAAGTTGACATGTTTTGTCTGCTTACCATGTTCCAGGGATAGTTCTAACCTTTTTATATTCGTCATCTCGTTTACTCTTACAATATCCCTCATGATGTAAATTGAATTACCTTACTTTGCAGATAAAGAAATAGCAGCCTAGAGAGAATAAATACCTACAAATTTGACTATAAAACCTAAAATTGCATAAGAAATCTA